GACAGTCACAATCCAGATTGTAGGTAAATCGAGATCGAAGTGAGTCGTGGATTGTGTGCAAATGTAGTATAAAGACATCACTTGCTCAAGCTTTCCACACTTCAAAGATAAAGTTGTATACTTTGACAAAATCCTCACAAACTTTTTTAACATCTTTATTCTCCTCTTTTTAACCTACACATTCCAAATTTTAACTCATGCAATATTTTTTTTGTTTCTAATCTTCCTTTTTTTTCATATTATTAATAGCCAAAATTCACATTTTTTACAGATTCATCAACTCTATCAAAAGTACTGAAGATCTATTATATCTAGACTTTTGTAAAATTTAACATTATTATAGAAAAGCACTATATATTCATTATTTTTTCATTATTTTATATTCTATTGCTTTTATATTTGTTTTTATNAATTTAACATTATTATAGAAAAGCACTATATATTCATTATTTTTTCATTATTTTATATTCTATTGCTTTTATATTTGTTTTTATTTCAGGGCCAATTTGTTGTTTGCTTGGAGGTTCATATTGTCTAAATGGCATCACCTTTCTAATACTTAAAAAAAACTATTATGAAAAATTTTAAATCTTACCAGAGTTATGCAAAGCTGACCAAGTGAGATAAAATGTGTACAGAGAAACGACAGATGCTTGAAGTAGACCGCTACGTGGTTGAGCTATTATGATAAAATTTATAATTTTATTAAAAAGTAATTAAAATTTACATAAATATTACAATAGTAAAATTATAAATAAAAATCATGATTATCTGAAGCTTTCATAAGAGTATTCAATAAGAAATAATAATTAATAAAATAAGTAATTTAATATCTTACAAATATAACGTTTATCACATGTTTACCAATCAAATTTGATCTCTTACAAAATACACTTCCTAAATATATTGAAGCATATATGATTGGTTATCATTATTATTTTAATTATATATAATACATTTCTTCCAACTATTAACAGACTACAAAATGCTTTTGTTTATTTAGATTTATTCTATCTTTCTGCATAAATAAAGCTCCATAAACAATTCTCCTAACAAGAAGAAAAATATGTGACTATGACATCATATTTCCTCTTACAATTGAAAAAGATATTTATAAACTTTTGATTATAGTTATCAAAAATTCACAAAACGGAAACAATTAAAAACAGCATTTATTAATAATAATTAATGCAACCAAAATGTATAAAATACATATTTCACATATTGGTTTTTAAGTACCTCTGGTCATTATCCAGTAGTAGTATTAACTGTATTTTCTATAACAATGTTAAAAAAATATATTTTACATAATTTTTTCACAAATTGCAAATTCATGAATAAAATTTATAAAGATACATATTTTAAAATATTTTGCATACTGCATATTCACATAAACAAATTAATATTTCACAATAAAATCAAATTACGGTGCTCTAATGAATAAAATAGAATATAAATAAATCACCTAAAAATCTCCTCCCTGCTTGCGATTTGTTTTAGAAAAAAAAAATAATGACCAGATCATTGCTTTTTCATGTCACCACTGTACAATTTAAATTTCTGTATCAATTAATTTTAAATATTTTCTACTTTTACAAATTATCTATCAAATTTTTAGGATGCATGTAATTTCTGAGTAACAGTTTGATCAATTATGTGCAGATCTTGTACAATTTACAGAACCCAAGGAGCTGAACCATTCTACACAGCAAGAAATTCATATATTGAAATTGCTTACTATAAAGCTATCTTGTCCAAAAATCAGGGCATAATGGATGGAAATGCTATTTGCTATGGGTTTGAGCCTAAAAATATGCCTCAGTCAAAGTAAACGTGTGATTGCACTATTATGAGTATCTCCTAGTACAGGTATCCCTTGCTTAACACAATTTTGCTTAATGCAGGATTGAGTAATGTGTAAAATGAATTGCAGAAATTCCTTTACACACGTGGCAGATGTTTTAACTAATGTGGCTTTAACAGTCATATTTACTTAACATAGATATGTTTTTCTCAAATAAGATGTTGGTGAATTTGCTATTTTTGTGCTAAGGATGATTTCTTGTAAAGATATGTAGTATAACAACAATTGTGAAATTTAACACATTACTGCTAATGCAATATTGTATTCTTTGTTTAGAAGCTAATTTTAAAACATCACATTTTTTTTTTCTTTTAATGTCATTTTTTTCTTTTACATCATGTTTTGTTTGCATAAAATGAAATCAAAATGTCTGCAGATAAAATGCAAATCAGGCAAAATATTTATACTTTTTAAGTTTCGTAAAAGATATAACACTATACAAACAGTAAAAAATACTTGTAATGTGTATGGGGAAGATGATCCAAAATGCTGGACATGTAAAATGTGGTTTTGAAAGTTTTGTTTGGAAAATTTTGAACCAAAGGATTCCAAACTTACAGGGTTGCCCAAAAGCTGTTGAAGAGAAATTTCAGGAAGAAATTGTTAAAAATCAATAAATAACAACTTGTGAACTTGTAAAAAATCTTAGTGTATCACCGACATGATGATTGGTCAAGTACCAAGGTACCATTGTGTTTGATTAATGAGATATTGCTGTATGTGGTAGCATTGAGGGATTGACTGCATTAATCAAGGAATACCTGTGGTGTAGAAGTTGAGATAAGATTCTCATATTTTAAGAACATTCTTCTAACAGATAACAGAGTTCCTTAACAGAACAAAACCTGGAAATACATTTATGACTGTATTTCAACATATCTGGCATTACCAATGTGATGAATAAATGATATACTATGTCTAGGAAAGTGACCATACTAGGTAGTTTTAAATACAAACTATCAAAATAAAAAAATAAAAAAATTAATAAGCTTTGACCATGTGTATAAATTGTAAAGAAACAAATAATGTTGAGTTCTGTAATATTACACTACTCATTTATCAAAATACTGAGAAATGTAAGTAAATTTAACCAAAAGTGTATATTTCACATACTTTGTTATGTATCATTGATTAATATACACTTAAAATTTGCATAATTCCTGTTACCTTATCAATAATGTATTAAAAAATTCAATAAAGTTTGCTATTATGTTCTTATTTACTTGCATATAAGACAAGGTTTTCATTCATTTTTCACTGCTTCAAAAATCTAGGTCGTCCTATATGTGCAAGAAAAGGATTCTTTATGTTGTGGCCAATCTGGCAACACTTCAACGCCTCTCCCTCTTGAGTTTGTTCTTACCATATGCATTGTATTAGTGCCAGTCCTTATACCCCACTTCCAAATAAAATTATTTTATTTTTTTAAGATCTGTGATTATTTGGTGTAAAATTCAAAGTGTTTTTGCAATTATTTCTGTGAACCGTGTATAGTTCATGCTGCCATTATGGGTCTACAGTCTATTTATCATAAGTTGGCACCTACTGTAAACAAATTAAGACACCCCCCTTTGTTTATTGATTTAATCCTATGTCCATCAATTAAAACTGCATTGCATCTCATTCATCCGCATAGAACAGTTCTTTGTTATTTATAAAATCATTAATGAAATACTGGTCACTTAGCAATGATTATAGATGTAGTTATTTCATATTAGTTAAATTGTTAGTTTTAATGATTAATTAGCACATTCTGAATCATTAAAAATAAACTTTTTTCAGTATGCACATTATATTTTGGTTTTGTTTCCATTCATCACATATTTGATATTTTATTTGTGATTAAACAAAATAAAATTAGAATTGTATTAATTTGATTTTCTTTATTTTGATCTTTAAAGCCACACCTCGTCCTATATGTGAGGTTGTCTTATATGTGAGTAAATACGGTATATCAAAATATTATTAAATATTAAAACATTAAATTACACTTAGTTATACTGTTAAATTAAGCTATGTACAATTAAACTGCTTGAAAAATTAAACATTTAAAAATAATCTTTACCTTCTTGAATTTTTGGAATAATGGACAAAATGGATAATACTACACACAAAATCAAATTGAAGCTGATGAAAAATTTGTTAAGACTACACCCTTCACTCTGAAAATATAGAAAACTAATTTTTTAATTTTCTGTAAATACTGAAAGAAAAAATAGTCAACATTGAATCAAATATTTTTTTTCATTTTAATAAAACTTTTGAGNTATATATCTTATATATATATATATATATATATTTAATCTTTGAAAATTAAAAAATTGAATTATCATAAACTTAACAGATCAATTATACTGTAATAAACTATTACTGAATACTGAATGCCAGTCATAGAAATCCTTCTAAAAGTCATAAATAAATGTTTTCTTCAATTTTGTTTTGACAGATGTGTCTTCAAACTTTTAATGTGAAAATTAATGTTTTTCTTTTTTATTGAATTTTAAAATTGGAGATTAGACACTTTTATAGAAATAACTCATAATGGCATTAAAAACTTAAATAGCTACATCAAATAAGACATACTTGAAAATAAACTAATGTCATTATGAAGACTGATATCAGACTTCAGAACAGAAAATGACTTCAAAGTAAGTGAGAATAGTAATGCCAAGCAAGGAAAAAGTGACTGAAATAACATTAGTTGGCCATGATGATATACATTATTTATAAGCAGTCAAGTCCAAATGTTATTTTATGTTTATGGGTTTTGTTTCATTTGACATAATTTAGTTCAGTTTTCTTTTGTTTAAAGGATGACAACTTATTTTCATTATTAACTAATAGTAATTATGAATAAAGCAATTGTGAGACCCGAAAGGCCCTGGGCCTAATTTAATAATTTTTATTAAATATGTTTAAATATCGACACAAAATATTACTTCGTTTTGTTTTAACGTGGGAAAAACCCAGATAACAGATGTTACTTCCTTTCGCAGAAGAGAACATCCTCTGTTTTTCCGTATCTGGTTAAAATCTCGCTCAGATGGGAAATGGTTACCCTCATTCATCCCCCTTTCGTCCGTTCTCACGAAAGAGTTACTGGACGATGATTGGTCGAAATTCAGGAGATATAAGGGAAATTAGTTCAAATTCGAGGAGTTCTTCGACAGATCCGAAGCATCTAAACTCCACGCAGTTTTCCTCCTGATGGCCAACGCCCTTAACGGAGTCCCATAGACTAAGTCCCGAGTCTACACGTAGAAAGAAGAAGACGACGACAACTAAACAGGTCGTATGTTTTGGAAAGATTTTGTGAGCTCTCTCTCTCGATTGTGCATTAACATAGAATAGGTTTTAGCCTATAGCTTGTCACTTAATTGTCGTTCATTGATATTTGTATTTCGTTTTGTTTTTGGATTATTAAATTTACTCCTGTTTTATTTTACTAAATATGTCTCTTCAAATTTATTCCGAATCAGATCGCAAACGTGTGTTAATCCGCGTATAATAAGATCGATTAACTGGTGTCAAGGAATCCTGACGAGCATCTGAACCTCGCCGTTCAGATCATTTTTTATTTACGCTCTCCTATTAAAGTTAGAGAACTGGTCTTACCGACTAGTGCCCGTAAGTGGTGTAGACTAAGACCTACGTCCTGGCTGATCTCACACAATCATAATTTGTAATTATGACCAGAAAATACCACAAATTCAGGCCATTGGCACTGTTTGCCACAGCTGCTTAATTTAGAACTAATGCTCACACAAGATCTAGATGTGTGTGCATTTCTTGCATGTTTGTGCAAATTCTTTTCTCGCTTCTGCATATTATATATATAGCATATACAGTGTTCAAAGGAAAATCCATACATCTCCTATAACTTTTAAGCCACATACTACAGTAGTTGGCACCTATAGGAAAGTGATCACATGCAATCTATTGAATGCAATTGTAGCACTCCTAGTGGTGAAATATGGAACTACATGGAGGCTTCAAAAAGTTTGTGGAAAAGTCCATAACTAAAAATTGTTTGGAAGGATTTTGATTTCAATGCATCTGAACATTCTTGTACCAGGGTGTTATAACATGTTCAAACATGAACCCTTAAATGCAGGTAAGAACACAGCACTGCCAGTTAAAAGTCAGGCACCATTCAAGCAACATGGAATCCACCAAAATCGAAACCAGAACAAACACAAAGTTCATGGTGAAACTTGGTTGGGAGAATAGACAAGTCATTGATGCTCCGGAACAAATTTATGATGATAATGCTCCAAAGAAGTCAACAATGTACAAATGGATAAGTCACTGAAAGGTATCAATTTTCTGTCAATTGAAGATGTAAAAAAAGCTGCTCTGTCATGGTTCAGATCACAAGACCCTCAGTTCTACTCAGATGGACTTAAAGGCTGGTATCAACGTTTGCAGAAGTATATCGACCTTAATGGAGGATATGTTAAAAAGAAACATCATAACCGAAATCATTTTTTTAATGCTATCCTTTTTCCACAAACATTTGGAAGCACCCTCATAAAGAAAACCAACTCAGAAACTAATAGAACTAGGCAAAAAAAAGTCCAATTACAAAATGAAAGAACATTGTTTACTTAGTACAAAATGATACTTTGTTTAGCAGAAACATAAGAAAGAGCAGAAAAAAAAGAAAACTTTAGCAGAAAACCAATTTCCAATGTTTGGCAACAGAATTATTGGGTGTGGTAAATGTATGGAATGGCTGCTGCAGTTACCCAACTTAACATCGATGGACTTTCTGTTTTGGAAATACTTGAAAGATCAAGTGTACACTATGGAACCTTCCACCATAGCAAATTTAGAGGAATGCATCTTCTATATGTCTGTCATTCTGTAATCCCTGTAATGCTGCATGCTGTTCAAAAGACAAATTTAGTCCTGTAATGCTATTTTTTGCACACTAGACATATCTATATATTAACTAAAAGAGGATTTCAGTATTTTGATTTATTTTGAGTACAGCCGGGCTAAAAATATGGTTCAGGTATCAAATTAAAGCTCTTATGTTGTAAATAATGCCACTGAAGAAAGATTTGAAAAAGATGCAATTCTTCAGGTGTGGTGGAAAGGCAAAGATACAATGGGTATGTTCGTAAAATCGAACAAGTTAAACGAGAATGATGTCATCGTTTTTCTTATTTTGTTAGACTTTTCGAACGATTCATTTATAACTAAATGGCTGTTTCTAAAATTGAAGATATGAATGTTGCTAGTGTAGCCTTATCTGAAATATTTTTCTTAGATTGAAATAACTGTCCACCTGAAGCAATCATTTCACCTTTTAATCTACAGTTTAAACACTCGAGTAGATTTAGAAGCATCAATATCGTTGGCTGCCATCTTCTTAACGAAGCGAACTAACTCTTTCCTTCGTGAACTTCGTTAGAGTTTAGTTCGAAATGTTATCACTGCAGAACATGTGCACTGAGCAAGACTACTACTTTTAGAACAATTTGTTACCAACGCGTTTAACTTGTTTGACTTTACGAACTTATCCAACGTTAAGTCTATGGGAAGACAAGCAACAAACATGTTGGGCCCTTGCAAGCCATCTAGTGATTTAGATTTTCTTAACAGTTTGAACAACCTGTTGCACAAAAAACATTTATATATTCTTCAATACTTTCATAAATATTTAAAATTTGTTTTTAATTTCTTTAATTTACAAATAATGAAAAACATCTTCAAGTTCTTTAAAAATATAACAACAAAAAAATTTGTTTTAGTGTAGTTCACTCAAGTTTTACTCAAGCACATTGTCAGGAGAATATTCTTTCCTGACAATGGGCAAGACATTAGACAAATCTAGCAAGTAAATTAATTACAACTTTAATACAATATTATCTTTAATAATTTATAATATCAAAATATTTAGAACAGTATTTTTCAACCTTCTTAAATATGCGACCCCTTTACAAGTTAAAAAATTCTGGCAACCCTCCCAGGGCCATATTAAAACTATATCTGTGATTTTAAAAACTACGTATTTAATTTTCTTTCTGTTGAGACCTAAATATCGATCAAAAAACCAAATGTACTGTAAAATAAACAGGCACAGCCTTCTCACTGAAATTGTAGTTTTTTTTTATTGTAGTGTAGGACCTACAAACATTTCTTTTTCTTTTACCCACGACCCCCCCGTGTAAGGCTTTGCAACCCCTGTTGAAACAAACAAATTGATTATCTTAATATTTTATGGCTATATTTACCACTAAGTTTTTCAACCTTTGGGTCATGACCCCCAGGTTGAAAAACACTGATTTATAATATATCTTTCATTTAGAGTTAGAAGTTAACTAATAAGCATTCATATACTAAAAGAGTGAATGTAATTAGAATTAGAAGTTAACCAACACTTGATCCTTAGTGGTAAATATAGCCATAAAATATTAAGATAATCAATTTGTTTGTTTTTGAGAAGTCTTTGACGTAATCTGAATGCTGTTTGAAATATTGCTTTGAAAAAAATGAACTGCAATAAACAAACAACAAATAACTAGAAAAAAAGAAGAGAAAAATTTTGTTCACAAAATTATTATTATTTTATGAATAAAAATAATGTTTGATGTGTCAACAATTGAAAAATATGCAGAAAATTCTCTCTCATGTTTTTGATTATTGAGTCATCAAACACCACTGTCTAATGTAGTATTTGATGTTTAAATCAGCAATAGCAATAATAAAAAAATAATTCCAATTAAATATTCTTCCTTAGTTAATAAAAAAGCAAATCTAAGAATCTTATTTAATTTAAGAAGTTTTTTTTTATTAAAACTTCTTTAATTACTGATGTTATATATTTCAATACTTACTTTAGTGTAATAAATAAACAGGAGAACTATAGCAGCAATACTGATCGCATATTGTATGAAAGTAAAAAACAGTAGTGCTAGAAATAAAAATAAATATAAAATTAATATCTTCAAAATATACAAAAACTTTTATTAAATTTGAAAATTTTACAATTTAAAAACTTTTTTGAATTTAGTTGCTTGAAGTTAAATATTTATGTATTTCTTAAATGTCACAACTTGACAAATGTAGGACTGTGTTTAATTAAAAGAGCATGGCAAAATTAATCACTTTGCATAGTTTCTTTAAAATGCATTTTGTGTTTAAATCCTTCTTTGGCTGTTGATAAGTTTTTAATATTTTTAGTTTAACAAATAAAAGTCATATATAACATTAACAAATAAAAGGCATATAATATCATATGCTGAGTATTGAGTATATGTTATCAAATTTTTTAAAAAAACTAAAACAAATTAACCTGGGAGGAAATATAGATTTTAGAAACTGAAATGTGATCTAAAAACTATGTAAAATTTTCCAGAGTTTAAAAAAACTTCTTAAAAATTCAAAAAAAAAAAAAAATTAAACCAAGTGAATAAAATCATAAAGTTGTTATAATGTGCACAATTATTCAATTTAGCAATCAAAAGTGAATTAAGCATTCTTTCCAATATCGATGCTCTATCAGGAGGAAGTGCCAGGCATGAAATTGAAAATCCCCATTCCACATCAGCATTGCCATGAGGGTCAATGCTGATTTCACTAATTTGGCTACAGTGGGATATCTATCATAATCAGACACTGTTTATTTTTTTAATGCTTCAAGATGTGTAAATATTGATTTCAAAATAAATTAATAAATCTGAAATAAACAGATTTTAATTAGTATAAGTTTAATATATAAATTTTATATTAGAGGATCCGTAGAGAATTCTTCTAGACAAGGCTGCATGAGTTATAATTTCCAATATTATTTTAAATAATTTTAGAACTAACTGTTTATAATAAGGAAATTACTCTTACCACCATACCATCCCTTTGATTCTGTTTCTTCATATTTTGAAACCCAGCTTTCAGCCCAACTATGTGCAAAATCAATAATCAAAATTAACTGAATCAGGATAAATACAAAACCACCAATCATTCCAAAATACATCCAGACTAAAAAAAGAAAAAAAACATACCTAAGAACATTTTTAAAAATTTAAAAATTTTATTTAAAGGAAATTTATATTTACCATCACCAAAAGCAGAATTTCCTGGAATGAAAAAGGCTCCAACCATGCCACCAATCAAAATCAAGTATTTTATTGCCCAAAATCTATAAATTTAATAAAATAAGCTATTATCATTTTTATAATAATAGCTAAATTTTTAAGATAAGGCTACAGCTTATGAAATATGAATTTGATTAAACATTTGCCCTGTTGATAGCAAATATTTAAAGTTCATAACATATGTTAATTTAAAATCATAAACTTCAAATTGTCATTAAGTAATCCTGATTGATCTAGTGATTATGGCTTTGTATTATTGCATTATGGGCAGGGGACTGCACTATAATGAAAAGTTTTCATTCCTTGTTGAGACAAGGAATTAGTAAAGTATATTCTATGTGGCTTACAGAATTGTGTCTGTTCTCAAAATCTGTTTGATAGATTTTGATTAAACTTTACCATTTTCTACTAATTGCAATGAGGAATCCAAAAATATAATAAAAAATAGGGGTCCATGACTTCATTTGAGATATAAGATCATTTCACATGTGTGCACAACAAAGTCCTGTTTGTTGTGGCATGATGATGTCGCATGATGTCCCAAGATCACTAACACATCTATATGGCTTATAGAATTGAGTTTGTTCTCTAAATTTAATGCGCTAATTTTGATAAAACTGTCATTTTCCATTGATTACAATGAAGCTAGAAATGGAATTAAAGTAAATGTATAAACCAGGGTCTATGATTTTGTTATCAATATAAAGTGGGGTCAAAGTGACAATGTCTGTGCTTCTTGAGCATGCCTAATAGAATTTAGGGATCAAGTTAAAAAAAAAAAACCAGCATTGTGTGCATCTAACAGAAAATAGATGTAAAAAATGAACAGAGCTATTGGCATTGATTGCTTTAGTTTTTGTTTTATTTGTATACGGTAATGCAACACATGGGCAATCTGCCAAAGGGGAATGCCTCTTAGAAGGTCTTTTATGGGAAATGGCTCCCTATTTGCTTGTTACTGTCATAAATAAAACTGGAAAACTCCACATAGCCAACCCACTGGCCAGGCACAAAGTCACAACCAATTACCAGTGTTCAGTGGTTATCCACATCGCCACTGGTGGGCATTGCCACTGATTACTTGCTCTGTAAGGGCAAGGATCATCTCTGTGTGTCGGACAGTACGAGGACCGCCTCTCCTGTGACCAGTGGGTGCAAAGATGCCTCTTTCATGACAGCAAGTGCAAAATTTGCCTGTTTGCGATTGTCAGATACAAGGATCTCCTTTTGTGTCTAACAAGTGCAAGAATTACTTCTTTCTTTTCGGCTTCCATCAATTCTATTACAATATGACAAAGTCACGCAATGTCCTAGTTTTAAAATTTAAATTAAGTATGATAATTCAAAGCTGAAGTTCAAGTTTGTTCTTCACATCATTTTTATGCCTATAAAATAATTTTTATAAAAAATATGTACTATTTGATAAGTCATATCTAATTAATTCCTATTTATAAATTTGTATTAGAATTTTATGAAATAGGATACTGCTATATTTAAAGATATTTCTATCATTACTGATTATCATGACAAAAGCAAATAATTAAATACTAATAATAAATATAAATGCACATAAAAAGCTTCCAATTTATAGTAACATGATAAAATGGTTTTGATCCCAAGTTCTAAATTGTTATAGCATTTTTTCTGCAGATTGCTTCCAAAAGTTCAAATCTATTGACCTTTGTATATTCTAAATCATAAAATCAAAAATGTATTATTTTAGAATTTTCATAATAGTTTTTCAAATATTGCCAAAACTTTGAACACATTTCAATTTTTAAAGTTCAAATTTATGTCTCACTTATTAGAAAACAATTTTTTTTTTACTTTTTATATAACTACATCTATTAAAAACATTTATATGTGAAATGTTTTTAATTTTTACTTGTATACAGTTCTGATATTGAGAGCAAGTTCCTAAAAAAATGTTTGAGTCCAATAGATTAGTTTCTAGATTGTAAAAAGACTAACATGTAATGATAGATGATAAATCCATTTTCTTAAAACTTTAAAAAGTCTAAAAAGATTTCACATATTTTGTTCAAAAAACCTGAACTTTAAATATTTTTAATACTGCATATAATAATGCAGTATTATCCACAGTTTTCAACAAAAGAGAATGTGACACAGAAATCTACAGGAGAAAAGATATATGCATATAGGCAATGGATGACTGAAGAAAAAAATCAGAGATGAGACAAAAACAAGCATTATGACAAAAGAAAATGTTGATAGAATATGGACTCGGAAACAAGAAAGATATACAGTCAACTCACCTTAAAATGAATACTAATAAAGACAATTCTCACATTATAGAAATTTTGCCATTACCCTGGCAAAATGCCATTGTCATAACATTAATTTGCACACAATAAAGCAAACAAAAATTTTACCAGAATTCATTAAACCAAACCATAAATTATCTTCACAACCCCTAAGAAATAAATCTATTTCCAATAATGGTTGCTTTTTACACTTTGATATAAACAATACAAAGTGATACTGTTGTAAGGAACCAAGTCCGAATGTTATTTTTATTTACTTTTATTTTGCTTATTATTCTATTTTTTTTTTTGGGCTTATGTTTTGTTAGGACGAAGGTTTCCTCACCATTCACCTTAGTAACTTAAAAATAGAAGAGAAACCAACTCACCGACGAAAGAAAAGCGCCGTAGAAAAACTCGCGCACACTTGCGCTTCCCGAGCAGAAAAAAGTAAGTCCGCACCGACGAAAAGGGGGGGGAAGACCCCACAACCCAGTTAGGAATCGCTAAATCTTAAAAGAATAAAGCATCCCGATAATTGTTAAAAAAGAATAATGTAAAAGGTTAGCGAAGTATTGTCGGAAAATAAGCTGCCAGATAAACGAGAAAAATTTAATGTTACAGATAAGTATGTAAATGAGGAGAGTGATCTCATTCAGAATTGTGACGTCACCTCACACTATAAAGCCTCTAACTCAAGTGAAAACGAACGAGGTGAATTCCTGATAGCAACGAGCTTTGGTGAGCTTCGTAGCAGTGATCGAGAGAGGTGTCCGATTGGATCAAATAGTTCCAAGGCGATTTTGAAGTTATTCGATTTATGGATCGACGATTATAGACAGTCTTGAGAGTTTGAGGAAATAGGTTCCTAGTATATTGAGGAGACGATTAGGATCTTTAATTTATAAGAATTATTGTTTATAAGTTTAAGTCTTTGATTTTGTCGAATTCCAAAGGGGAATAGAATTAAGTTAGAAATAGATTGATTTGAGTTTTGTCGGGTTGATTCTTGTTGAATTTCATTGAATAAATTATTGTTTGATTTTTATTAAATACTGTATATAGTTTATTACTAGAAGTTTAATTAAATATTTGATTTTGTTATTGACAAACTTTGTCATTATTTAATTCGGTGCACGCTTAAAGTCCAGGCCTGGCACACTAACGCGAATCCGCGTAAAGGCTATTTCCGGCACACAGTAGTGTCGATAATCGTTGGAAAAGTCGGAAAAATAATATAGTACTTTACACTGTAATAAATGTTCCATTTTGAGTTGAATATATTTTCTTCTCCTAGTAAGCAAAGATGGGTTTGAGCTCTGATTGTAGAGCAATTCAAACATCTGGTTTTAGTGGGCCATTCTATTCTCAAAAAATAGGGGTTAAAAAAAGTGTAAGGATGCCCAGCCATTTAAATGAATGCAGTCCTATGCAAAAACATGTGCTGATTTGCACATTGGAAAGTGCACACAGTGATGTTAGGTTTGGCAAGTTTGTGCCAAATTTTGCTTCTTTTTTTACTCTTTTGGTGCCAAAAACTATTTTCTACTTTTTCAAACAATCTTCAACAAAAAAAAAGCCACGAATTTCTTTTAGCTTTGTTTTGTTCAACCACTTTGGTATACTGTTCCACACTTCAACAGCAAAATACCATCTCATTTTGTTTGATTTGAAAATCATTCAGAACATTAATTTGTTTGTGTAAATCAATTTAACTTTATCTAACTTTACTTAGTAAATTAATTCAAAGTACAGTAGACCCCCCTATAACGCTTAGATACGTTCCACGTTAATCGAATTTTACATTGTAGGAATGATTAAATACATGAGCCAATCGCAGCCCGATAGGTGTGAACTTTACGGACTAAGGCTGTTTGAAAGGTTTTCTTCTATAAAATTAACCGATTCTAGACTAATTCCACTCAACATTTCCAAAACACGTATAATTTTTTGGGAATAATCTGTATAAACTATGCTATAAACAAAAAATTATAGGATTACTTACCGAGTGTGTACCGTTCGACTACGCCG